ATATTTTTGATCCTTTTGTCCTTGCACATAATTTCCTTTCTATGTTAGTATGAGACCAGCGCTCTATGTTCCGATCGTTTCGTTGGATAATGATGCCGAGCGAAGGTCACTGTTAACTCACTTTCCCTCATTCCAGCTTACATAAAATGAGTATTCTTGTCTAGAAAAAAAGCCAAAAAATGGGAATTAGAATTTCTCCGGAGTATTGATGCGGCAGCTATGTAGCGTTACGATGGTTAGCGCGAAATGCTTGGCAAAACCGACACAAAACGGGCCGCTCAACGCGCTTGGCAACCGTCCTTCGATCCATGTCACCCACTTATCATTTACATTATATACACACCTGCTTGCTGCAGAAATTTTTGAATCCCTGGCGTAGATTAGCACGCAAATATCCTTCGTAATGACAGCTGGCTGAGCACAACCTTCCAATTCCATGTAAGCTGACAACGTCATGTAGATCTGAATGAGTTGTCATCAGTTATGAGTTTGAAGTTGTCTCAGAAGTTGAGAAGAATTTCGGAGGTGATGGCAGACAAAACATCAAGGTTCAAGGGTGGAAACTAGCGCTACAAAAATGAAGTGGAGCTGTGCTTATCGAGTGTGCAAGTCAAAGCGTATCGCGGCCGCACACTCGTACTACTCAGGCATTCAGACCACTTTTATTTTTTGCTCATAACTCTCTACTTCGTAAATAAAAAATCCCATAAACTATGAACTCATCTTAATTCAGCTTATAGATCAACCTCGACAAAAGGAACTTGAAAAAAAGACAATCAGACGCTGACCTGATCGCCATAATTGGATACTCGATTGAGAAGTGGGGAGTTGTGAAGCGAACTATCCCATGCGGCTTCGAATTGGAAGAATGACCTGAATTTTCTTCTCAATCAGCCTTTGAAACGAAAAAGAAGCTCAAGCTTCCAGAAAGTAGCTTTTCATGTACGTTTCTGAGAGATATGAATGGGATCATACCTTTCATCCATACTGAACTCCAGGAAAGTTCCTGGGAAGAGCCCTAGCGATAACACATCTAAAACGAGGGCTTTGATTATTGCATATGAATGTGATGTCTCGAAGACAAGAAGAATCTAGTACTTGCCTATGTCCTCTCCACCATTCCACTCTGGTCCACTCCGGATACGACCCACAACCAACTCTTGGCAATCCTTCCATTTCACTTCGCCCTAAAAAAGACACTTTCTCAAGCATCAGTGATTACAGCACGCTGTTTCAGTAGAGTTGCGAGTGGCAAGAGCTAATAAATACATCATTTCAAAAAGTAATTCAGTCAAGTGCCCATGGCAGTTGTGTTTTGGGTGGTGCACACCGTCCTAGCTGATGATTGAGCCCAAGCACATGGTTTTCCAGAGATTTCCAGTAAGAGTAAGTGAAACGGACTCCAACAAAATGAAAAAGATAAAATCACAAAACATTTCTGATTCCGGCTTTGGAGTTTACTGTCGACATTAGGCTATGCTGAAGGAGCCACCGCAGACTAAAGAAAGCTTGAGGGGTATGCAGCGATAACTGAAGAGGTGCTGGTCCATTTCTTGTGTTGGGCCCTGAACAGGACTTGAACCTGGATTGGTGCTTTCTAGTCATCGTGATGCTATCCAGTAAACTACCAGAACTCCAAAAAATACTTCCCCATAGCCTATCCGGGGTCACTAGCAGTTCAACCTTGAACGTGAAACTGCGGAAAATCTTTTTGAGAGATTTTGAGAGAAATTGAAGGATTTTAATATTATCGTCATTTTCATAATCATTATCAATTTTTAATTTTTCTGACAAGTTATGGGTAAAGATATGTAACATCTCATATCTAGTGCAATCTCAAAACATCCAAGTTCATGGAATAATTAAATTCTGATGTGTTCATATAGATAGTGGATAGGAAGCTAAGGCTCGATTGAGCGGTTTAAACGATAGTAGCTGACCCGTTCGTGACAGATGGTGATCTTGATCCTTCGCTGAATTCCCTGATGCAGAAGGAAGACACCATGGGTGGGTAGACCTTGCGCATGGTCCACCACAGCTGGCACATATTCACCACTTCCGGCCAGTTCGCAAATTTCAAACCAAACCAACAAGTCCGTTTTCGAACGAATTTGGGTAGGGCTGTAAAAAGTGTTGTTAATGCTTTTCAAAGGAATCTCCAAATGTTTTCCCAAGAAAATTCTTGGTATGGAAAAAGAATTAGGCCATAAAGTAGGAGGTAATATTTACGACATACTTGTTTTGAATAGGAGCATTGGCTTTTTTGCTCTTTACAGGTGTCGAGATCACTAGGGACGGTTGTTGGAAAGTGAGCTTCGTTGACATACGACGTCTGAACGAGGCATTCAATGGTATCAAAAAAGGTAAAGAGTTTTGTCAGAAATCGTACCCAAGTGCGCTCAACTGCCGTTCAAACTGGAATCCTTCAGGTTTCTGTTGGAAATGACCGAACGCCTGCAAAATTGATATCGTAGTATGTAGCCCTCCAATTCCCATCATTTCTCGAACGAGAGAACCAAATGCCCAGTGGCTGATACCTCAAAAATGATGGGGAAGTGATGCAGATAGTGTAGGAAGGTACGGCTCATCTTGATGTGCAAATTCTGGGAATGCGAGAACGACAATGGTGCTCGACCAGTGTTCTTCAGTGGCTCCGTAGAGAACGCTTCGTCATGACGATGGAGGAAACTGGAAATAGCGTCTCTGTAGAAGTTCTTAAGCTGGAGCCTCGTAAGGTTCTTTTCCTGGAGGAGGATTTCTCACTTGGTCCTTTCTCGAAATACTGGTACTACTCAACCAAATTCGACCAACAAATTCTCAAATCCAACTATGAATTCATACTGACTTGAATTGACAGAATACATCCGAATACTGCTCAGAGACATCGATTGCTTGTAGCACAACCACTCGGAAGCAGAACTCTTCATCCTCGTTCATGTGTGGTGGGAAGGTCAATTGCTGGCTTTCATCTGAAGGCAATAAGTGAGACATCAGGTAAAAACGGCGTAATTAGGCATTCCACTGGGGTTTGCAGCGCTCATTATTCGAGAACAGACCAGGAACAGTGTCACTTAACGATAGATGACTGGTTAATAGGAAAGAAGTTTAGAGGTGGGCAATTAAAAGGATAAAGTCTTGGGTGTTATTTAATCGCGTCAGAGGGGTGCGTCCGCGCATTCGACTTCTATTCAGAATCGTAGTGGTGTAATGAGTGCGTACATATGTGGCCTACTTGATGACTTGCGGTGGCCAACCGATGACCAAGTGAGTGCTTTTGAGTGCTTTCATCCTCCCAGACGAGTCTGGAACCAATTGAGCGACCCCGGAGGGATGGGAGGCTTGGTTGACCTAGGCGGATATCGATCCGGGAAATCCACCTAGGCCAACGCGTGTGCTTAGGAGCCTGGGTAATCGAGAACGAACGAATCCGCCTGTAGAATCTGCGTGGAACTTATTTTCTAAGATCCAAGCCATTAGAATTCTCAGATCATGGTGATAAGAACATAATGGAGAGAAAATTGTAGCGTAAGAGTTAAATCTCAGGAAAGGTTCAAAATTGTATCCCGTGTCATTCGATTTCTCCCTCAAGTCTTTACTAGTGCTTCATTTATAATCATTAATGAAAATTTGATAGCAGCAATTTCCCCAAAGCTGTTTGAGTTCCAAAGTTACTGCTGAATATATTCCCAAAGGCAGAACTTTGGTCGAAGCTTGCTCCCAAAAGTGTTATAAAAACCCAGTACCTTCATTCTCGCCGTTCCTGCATGTCTTCAAGAAATCCTCTTTGCGGAAATGCAATTTTGCTGTCTGACGGACACCCTTCTTCTGTGTGTCAGCCTCTACTG